TCGGCCGGAGACAAACAGGAAGCGCCCCCTCCCCCCGCCGCTTTGTACGGAGCGGCGCGAGGGGCGCCCCGCAGCGCCCCCGCCCGGGGCCCGCGCGTCACGGCGCCGCCGCGGGGGGCGCTGGGAAGTGTAGTCCGTTCCCGCGAGGGGGTAGGCGCATGCGCGAAGGCGCCGCGGGGCATGGCGGGAAGAAGGGGGAGAAGCCGCCATCAGTCGGAGGGGCTGCGGGTCGCCGCCATGGAGTCACCTGGCCGTTCCCTGTCAGCCTGGAGCAGAGAAGGCGCCGGGGAGACTTTAGAGCCCCTTGCAGTCCCTAAAAGGGCTCCAGGAGAGATGGGGAGGGACTTTTGACAAGGGCATGAAGTGATAGGATGGGGGTTAATGGCTTCCGGCTGGAAGAGGAGAGATGGAGGTTTGATATTTGGAAGAAACTTTTCACTCTGAGGGTGGTGAGAGCCTGGCCCAGGTTGCCCAGAGAAGCTGTGGCTGCCCTATCCCTGGAGGGGTTCAAGGCCAGGTTGGAGGGGGCTTGGAGCAACCTGGTCTGGTGGGAGGTGTCCCTGCCCAGAGCAGGGGGTGGAACTGGATGTTTTTCAAGGTCTCTCCCCACCCGAACCATTCTGTGATTTTACGATAATTGTAGAGACTTTATTATTATTACAGCTTCTCTGGGCTACCTGAGCCAGTATCTCACCACCCCCACAGTAAAGAATTTCTTCCTAATATCTGACCCTCTGCTGTCGGTGGCCCCAGAGCTGGAGGCTGCACGGCAGGGGGGTCTCCCTAGGGAAATTCTGCTCCAGGCAGAATCCCCCCCTTGCCCTGCTGCTGGGGTTTTTTTGTCATTTGCCAGCAATCCATGCGAAGGTCTGACTCTTTTTTTTTCCCCTCTATCTCCTCCTTTGTTAGCTCCATGAAAATAGCTTTTCATAACATGTTTGTCTGACCTTTCATCAATCCACAGCCTTTCCAAAGCCAAACAATTACTTCTGAAATACCTCAAAAAATCTGGCCTTTGGGGGCTGCTTAGAGCAGAGAACTAGAAAAAAAAAAAAAAACATCCCCTCTATCTCCTCCTTTGTTAGCTCCATGAAAATAGCTTTTCATAACATGTTTGTCTGACCTTTCATCAATCCACAGCCTTTCCAAAGCCAAACAATTACTTCTGAAATACCTCAAAAAATCTGGCCTTTGGGGGCTGCTTAGAGCAGAGAACTAGAAAAAAAAAAAAAAACAACAGCCAAACCCAAAACAATTACAAGGATGGCATCAACAGCAAATGCTAAATTTGGGTTCTGTGCTATCTTTCACAACTCCATCAAAATCCAGTTTCCTTCCAGCCTTTGACAGATGCCCCAAATACACACTGGAGGTGGCACCTTTCGAGCGCTGACCTGCCCCGTTTGGAAGCCCCCCAAAATCGCCACTACCCATCTGTGTTTCCCACACACCTCATTTTGGATTCCCGACAAAACTCCTCTAGGTTCTGTTAATGTGACTGTATTCCTCGGTTGGAGCTCTCCCCCAGCTGGAATATGCCAAAATAGACCTGCCATCTCTTCCCACAGATGTTCCTCACTATGAGGCCCCAGGGAGGAGAAGCAGCAGGAGACCACAAGTTTTAGCTTTTTTTTTTTCCCCCCAGCTGACTAGTGATAGTAATTTTTATCCATCAAGTTCTCACTAACAGCGGTTTTTTTTCCCAGCTGACTAGTGATAGTAATTTTTATCCATCAAGTTCTCACTAACAGCAGAATCTCTTACATTGCACCCAGAGGGAATGGAATCCAGTCTCTCGTGGGACAGCCAGCCCCTAACGATTTCATCCCGCCATCCCTTAAGAGATTCCCAAACATCTGTCCCTCATCATGTTGCCTATATCATGGGACAACTTGTACACATCACTAAGGCACAAGCAGGCTCACTGACCTCCAGCACCTCAGCCAAGACATAAAATCGTAGAACTGTCGAGGTTGGAAGGGATCTTTCAGATCATCTAGTTCAATCATCCACCTAATTCTGATAAAAACCATCACTAAATCATGTCACTAAGCACCATCTCAACTCGTCTTTTGAATCCCTCCAGGGATGGTGCCTCAACCACTTCCCTGGGCAGCCCATTCCAAGGCTTAATAACCCTTTCAGTGTAAGCATTGCTCCTAACATCCAACCTGAATGCCCCCTGGGGCAACTTGAGGCTGCTTCCTCTTATCCCACCGCCTGTTCCTTGGGAGAAGAGACCGACCCCCCCTGGCTACCCCCTCCTTTCAGGGAGTTGGAGAGAGTGAGGTCTCCCCTCAGCCTCCTTTTCTCCAGGCTGAACACCCTCGGCCTCTCCTCATAAGACTTGTGCTCCAGACCCCTCACCAGCTTCATTCCTCTTCTCTAGACCCACTCCAGCCCCTCAATGTCTTTTTTGTGGTAAAGGGGCCCAAAACTGGACACAGCCCTCGAGGTGGGGCCTCACCAGTGGCCAGTACAGGAGGACAATCCTCTCCTGAGTCCTACTGACCACAATGTTCTTGATACAGGCCAGGATGCTGTTGGCCTTCATGGTCACCTGCGTCATTTAAATTCTCCATTAAAGGTCTCCATTTAAGAAGGCTTACTAACAATCCTAAGAAACCATATCACTGTTCTTTCTGTTTTAAAAAAAAAAAAAAAAAAAGTCTTAGCAAGATGGTAGTCACTTGTAAAATACTGGAACAAACCAAAATTAAGGCTGTCTTGTGTGATTCTGACTCAACCATGCCTCAGCACTAATTAAGATCCACCTAATTACTCACAGTAGAACAGTAGCTGTGGACAGCTGAGTGCTTTCAGCTCCAACTGTGCTGAAGAAAGATCTTACTTCTACAGCTACTACCCCTTAGTTCTGCTACTGCAGCCTCTTAGGCGAGGGCACCAAAACACCACGGTTATCAGACCTACCCTGTTGGCAACCTGCAGCCTGACAGGTCTTTCATTTCCTTCTGCTTCATGCCTGGGGCAACGCTAAGAGAGAATCAGGACAGAGCATCGAGTGAAGCCATTGGAGATGGCCAGGATTTTGGTGTTCTAAAGATTAGACAACAAATAGCCATGAGAAATGGAAAATAAAAAGATAGCCTTAGGGTAACAACAAGGAGCCGCTAACAAGAGCTCCATCTTTGTCTAACAATGCCTTGGTTTTTGGGTGCTCCTCTCTCTGTACCTCCACTGAGAAAACTGCATCAAGGCAGTACTTCCAGCCCCACCTGAGCTACAGGACCCATAGAGGTTACCAATCCTTCCAATACCTCTGTCTGCCCAAAGCTTCAAGTGTCTCTTACTGTAATTTACCCGCAACTGCAACAGGATTTCCATCCTGAAAGGTAAGAGGGCAGATTTTACATAACTTTATAGCACTAGGACAAAGCGAGACAAAACCAATAGTTTCTCAAAGCAACCCCAGGTCAAAGACTGGGCATTGACCCGGTTGCATTTAAGTATTTCAGTGGCCACAGGGACTTATTTATCCTCCATCTCTAACCCACTGCAGCTTGTTTGTGCTTGCTCCAGACTCAACTTCCAGACCCATCATTTTTCTGCCTCCATTCAAGGAAGGGGCAGAAGGAGGTCTCTCACCGCCTGCTCCAGGGAGCAGCTTATTAAGGTCTGTTTCTGCTGATTCCTGCACCACAGGAGAACAGCATTTCAGTCTGAACCAAGTCCCCTTCCATCCTACCCTTACACCCACTACAGGTCCACCCTGAGGCCAACTTCACTGACTGAGGCAGAGTTAATGCAAGCGAGGCCCCAAAGGGAAGTGAGAAAGAGGAAGGAAATGGGGAAATTTAATAGGAAAAGCATGTTAGATTCTATATGAAGCAAGCAAGCTCTGCTGCAGGGTAAATGAAACCTCTGCCAGTCCATGCTCCACCTCAGTTTGCAGATGACGTTACCTGGATGGTTACTAAACCAGTTTTGGGCAGGTGGTACTGACCCACAGCAATTCCACACACAGGGGAACCGAGCAATTTTATGTTGCAACTGCTCCCCTGCCCCCTGCCATCCTTCACACCTGCCAGACAGGCTGGATCTACAAATCCCAGCCTCCGCCTCAAAATAAGAAGGTTTTCTTGACTGGTCATCAATCTCTCAAGCTACTGATGTATTCCTAAAGAGGCTGAAGATAAAAGGTGGAGCACGTTTCAGTCTCAGAAGCAAAGCCGCAGCCAGTAATCCCTGCTTTTCCCCTTATGACAGGGAGACACTCAGGCTCATTTTTACAGAACAAAGCAAGCTGCAGACTCTGCATAAGCCTGTAAAACTTCAAAACAAATAAAATAAACAAGGTACCTCTAACCTGTAGACTTTTCTCATTCTGAACACCTGTTTGCTATTCAGGCAACCAATCGGTTTGAGATGAGCAACTTCACAGCATTAGCAGCTGAGACCTGAATCACATTTTATGAAACCAGCAGTAGCAGAATTTAATGGGAAGCTGTTTCACTTCATGAAACAATTCACATTGTGAGGTATAACTTTTTTTCCATTATGAAACTATAAAAATATATTCCCAGAGTCTGAATCAATAATTTAAACCGATACTGAAATTCTATGAATCAGGTGTTATCTAGGAAGACCTGTCCCAGTACAGCAAGTTTAGAATTAAAGGATTGACTGGGGCAACTCAGGAGGGAGTGTGTGCTCTTCTTAGTGTTTCTCTTCTCTCCACCTTTCTCCGAAGGGGCATCTTCAGGGTCTTTTGCACTTTCCCCTTCACCATGGTCAGAAGTTCTTTTTAAAGGGAATTTTTTTGTTTTCTTCAGGGAGTAAAATTCCCTCATCAAGTCTTCCACCTCCCACTGCTCTTCCTTGCGCCTCCTGCAGCAGTGCAGGGCAGCAGGGTCTATGGGATGAGCTTCTGTGTTGAAGACGTATCCCCCAGCATTCAGAACGCACTCCCCGTAGGGCGTGATCACCACATCAAACACCGACCCATCGTTGTGGATGAAGTTGTCTGGGTCAAACAGCAGGTACAAGTATTTCACCGTTTCAGCCAAAAAGAAGGATTCCATGCGATTATCCAGCCTGTGATCTCTCAAGTCTTTGATCTACAAGATAATACAGTGGATTGCAGTTAAATGAATTCAGTAAATTCTGAGCTTAAGAAGGGGATGTTAAACCAGCCCGCAATTAATTTCTGTCAAGCAGCACAACATGGCACCAATTCACCCTGTATTTTAAACACGTTATTGTACCCAAATACATCATCAAGGTTTTGGATGTTTTGAATAAGCCCAGTCTAGTGATAAGGAACAGGAAACCAACCATCAGGAGAAATACACTTCCTGCCTAGGTAAGGAGGAGAAGAGTGAGTAAGCTTCCAATCATTTCCCCCACTAAAATAATGATATGGCTTTTACCTACTTCCCAAATCACAAGGCCTAATTCCCAGTTAAGGAATCTTTTGGTAAGATAAGATAAGGAGTAAGAAAGATAAGGAGTCTTTTTGTAAAACAAAGCTTGACAGTATGTTTAAAATCTTCTACTAAATTATTTCAGAGAAATCACTCCCTGCAGTTCTCTCATGTTTGATCAGATTTTCAAGGCAGAGTGGGGAAGCAGCATCATACCACTGGCAGGCAGAGAGCCTGCATAGGAGCCTTCCTGCTGAGCTGGAACATCTAGGACCTCCCAAGACAGAGAAGGCAGGAGAAGCTTCTGATGCTTTCCCATGTCTTGGGCTAACAGCCAGTGACAGAATTTGTCCCACTGTTCAGACTTTGAGGGAAATTATTATCTGTAATATCATGGAATGATGGAATCATGGAATTGTCAGATTTGGAAGGGGACTACTAGAGATCCTCTAGCCCAACTCCCCTGCCAAAGCAGGGTTGCCCAGAGCACATCACTCAGGAGCATCCCGGCAGGTCTTGAAGATCTCCAGAAAAAGGGACTCCACACCCTTCCTGGGCAGCCTGTGCCAGGGCTCTGCCACCCTCACCCGAAATAAGTTTTTCCTCATATTTCAGTGGAACTTCCCATGTTCCAGCTTGTGCCCGTTGCCCCTCGTCCTGTCACTGGAAACCACTGAAAAGAGTCTGGCTCCCTCCTCCTTCAGCCCACACTTTAGACAGTTGTAAGCATTAATAAGGTCTCTCCTCAGCCTTCTCTTCTCCAGGCTAAAGAGTCCCAGCTCTCTCAGCCTTTCCTCATGAGGTGGATGCTCCAATCCCTCCATCATCTTTGTTGCCCTATGCTGGACTCTCTCCAGTAGGTCCCTGTCTCCCTTGAACTGGGAAGCCCAGAGCTGGATGCAGTATTCCAGTTGTGGCCTCACCCATGCAGAGTAGAGGGGGAGAGGGGAAATGATATGACCAGCTGTTACCAGAACAGCTTCAGAAAAATACAAGGGGTTTGTTTGAAAAAAGCCATGTTTCAACCAAAGTGATCGTTTGACTCAATGGCAAAACATCATTCATGAGAACACTTTCTAAATGCTGATTTTTAGAGTCATAGAATTGTTAGAGTAGGAAGGGACCTTAAAGATCATCTAGTTCCAACTCCCCTGCCATAAGCAGGGACACCTCCCACCACACCAGGTTGCTCCAAGCCCCCCCCAACCTGCCCTTGAACCCCTCCAGGGATGGGGCAGCCACAGCTTCTCTGGGCAACCTGGGCCAGGCTCTCACCACCCTCACAGTAAAGAATTTATTTCTAGTATCTAATCTACATCTCCCCTCTTTCAATTTAAAACCATTACCCCTTGTCCTATCGCTACACTTCCTAACAAAGAGTGCCTCCCCAGCTCTCCTGTAGCTCCCTTCAGACATTGGAAGGAGCTATAAGGTCTCCCAGGAGCCTTCTCTTCTCCAGACCGAACAACCCCAGCTCTCTCAGCCTGTCTTCACGGCAGAGGTGCTCCAGCCCTCTGACCATCTTCACAGCCCTTTTAGCAGCCATTTAGCCAACTTAGCAGTTGATTTAGCACTTACAGTTGCAAATCCACAGTCCACCTTGCTGATTTTCTCTATTGACTCCACTGCATCTCTTCCCAGTTCCAAGAGCGTGGGATCTCTTGTAGCACGGTACAGATACATGGCACTCTCAATCAGCTCTGCAAAAACACCCCAAACGTTTGCAAGCATAAAGATTACCAAACCATTTACACAGGGAACACAAGATATTCCTTAAAGTAGTATTTTTAAATTATTTCAAGATGAGGTAAACAGCCCAGCTTGCCTATTACTTTCTCTGGTTAAAGCATAGATACTGCTTTTACTGGGGATGAGCTACAAAGAAATTCACTCTAACCAGATTGCATCAGCTCAGGTAAGAGTGAATAATGCTTCCCTCCCACACTCAGAGTGGGAGAGGAGCAAGAGAGAAAATGATTAAAAGTCAGTTGTCAAAGGAAGAAAGGAAAGATGATTCTAGAAAGTACTACAAACAAGAAATTCACCCCCGAAATACAGTTTTTTAAATAACACAATAAGCCTCTGAAACAGGGTATCCAAAACACAGCAGAAACCGGGACTATGGAAATACTCTATACAGGCAACATACACACTGGGTTGTGTTTACTAAGGAAACAGGTCTTTGGGGATGCTGTAATACATTTGAAAATTAATGCTGATGAGCATTTTTGGTAGAACTGTCCAATGTGGATGTCATATGAACACTCAGGCCAAAAGGAAATTAATTATTCTCACAAAGTTTTACTGACTCAGGTGTGAGTGGGTTTTTTTGGCCAGAATTGTAAAAAGACAGAAGAATCATAGAATTGTCTATGTTGGAAGGGACCTTTAAGACCATCGAGTCCAACCATCAACCTAATTGATAAAAACCATCACTAAACCATGTCACTAAGCACTATGTCAACCCATCTTTTAAATACCTCCAGGGATGGTGCCTCAACCAATTCCCTGGGCAGCCCATTCCAAGGCTTAAAAGACAGATGATTTCATTGCAGTATCACAGACAACACGTAATCCCTCTTATATGTTGAGCTTTACCAGCGCAACTAGAATTTATTTCAGGAACCCAACAGAACTAGAGGAGTCTGTTCATACTCACTTTCGCTTCCTAAATTTAAAGGATGCAAGCACATTAACATTTTGCATGACTTTAAAACACGCCACGTCAGGCACTCTAACACTTAAACACATTGAGTCCTACACCGTGAATTCAATTCATTAACTCTTCATATAGTAACACTATGGTTTACTACCTTTAAAAGGTAGCCCTGTCTTTGGGAATGGCAGAAAGCAAAATGTGTGGCTTTGACCACGGAAATCACTGGTAAAATACAAGCAGGAACTAAGTCAAAGCAAAACTGAGGAGGAACTTTGAGGGCCGCTGTTTGATCTTACCACCAGAACAAAACCAGGATTCCACACTTATAGAATCATAGAATCATAGAGTTGTCCAGGTCGGAAGGGACCTCCAAAGGCCATCTAGTCCCACCCCCCTGCAGTCAGCAGGGACACCCCCAACTAGACCAGGTTGCCCAGGGCCTCATCAAGCCTCACCTTGAATATCTCCAGGGAAGGGGCCTCAACCACCTCCCTGGGCAACCTGTTCCAGTGCTCCACCACCCTCACAGTGAAGAACCCCCTCCTTATCTCCAGTCTAAATCTGTTCCCCTCCAGCTTGAAGCCATTGCCCCTCGTCCTGTCACTGCAGGCCTTTCTAAACAGGCTCTCCCCAGCCTTCCTGTAGGCTCCCTTCAGGTACTGGAAGGCTGCTATTAGGTCTCCCCGGAGCCTCCTCTTCTCCAGGCTGAACAACCCCAGCTCCCTCAGCCTGTCCTCGGAGCAGAGGTGCTCCATCCCCCTGAGCATCCTTGTGGCCCTCCTCTGGACCCTCTCCATCAGGTCCATGTCCTTCTTATATTGAGGGCTCCAGACCTGCACACAATACTCCAGGTGAGGTCTCACCAGAGCAGAGTAAAGCAGAAGAATCACCTCTCTGGACCTGCTGGCAACACTTCTTTTGATGCAGCCCAGGATGGGATTGGCCTTCTGGGCTGCAAGTGCCCACTGCCTGCTCATGTCCAGCTTCTCATCCACCAGCACCCCCAAGTCCCTTTCCTCAGGGCTGCTTTCCAATACCTCACCCCCTAGTTTGTATTGGTGGCGAGGATTGTTCCGGCCCAGGTGCAGAACCTTGCATTTGCTCTTGTTGAACCTCATGAGGTTCACCTGGGCCCACCTCTCCAGCCTGTCCAGGTCCTTTTGGATGACATCCCGTCCCTCTGGTGTATCGACAACACCACACTTCTTTTTATTTAATTGCTGCTTACCAGGCCTGAGGGGATATCCTTCCCTCTTGTCCACCGTGTAGCCCTGGGGAATGTTGTAGAACTCGGGCAGCCCACCAAACTGCTTCCAGA